GGGCAGGACATGTTGCTAGGGTCAGAGATGGAAGATGGACAAAGAAAATTTTAGAGTGGAGGCCTAGACACGATGCTTATCGTAGTCGAGGACGTCCTCCAACAAGGTGGTCGGACGATTTAAAGCGCATCCAGTCTAACTGGATTCAAGTTGCTCAAGATCGGATGCAATGGAATTATTTACGGGAGGCCTATGTTCAGCAGTGGACGCAAAATGGCTAATGATGATGATGATTGTTACGTTTATTAACTATGGCTGTAAACACTCTTTCACCGCCAAGAAAAAGATAAAAAAAAAAGATATTTAACTGTTGAGGGAAAAGGTGTAATAATGAACACTTATAAAAAAGCATCATAAAAGTTTGGACTGATATGTCAATTACCAGTGCTCGACAAGCGCATGTGGAAGGCCTATCTACAGGACTGAAACATCCTTCTGGAAAAGGAAAAAGACTAATTGTCTTTTTCCAAAAGATGGGTTTGTCGAAAATGGATTGCTCTTGTTCGAGTCCAAGAAAAATGGTGACTACCACGAAGATATTAATTCAGATCTTTTCGAGGAGTGCTTACAAAGAATTTTACCAACTTTACCTGAAAATGTAGTCATTGTTTTAAACAATGGATCATACCACAGTAGGATATATGAAAAATTGCCAACCAGGGCCAAGCGGAAGGCTGATATTCAAACTTGGTTAAGACAAAAAAAGTATTCCATTCACTGATGATATGCTCAAGGCAGAACTATTAACATTGGTGAAAAATAATCCTATTGAGCAAAAATATGTGGTAGACGAAATGGTTAAACTCACAGGTAGGTGTGTGCTGAGGTTGCCACCGTACCATTCTGAGTTAAATCCCATCGAACTAATTTGGGCGCAAGTAAAGGGCGAAGTTGCGAGGAAAAATTATACATTTAAGTTATGCGACGTAAAAATATTGTTCAACCAAGCCTTAAATAATGTTACAGCTAATAATTAACAAAATGCTGTCAATCATTTTGATGGAATTATATCCAAGATGAGGCAATTGATTTTTATTATCGAATAGCAATTAGAACCAATCTTTATTAATATAGGTAAAGATAGTTCCTCATCGGAAGACTCTGATAGTGATTAAATTTTACTATAATATTCAGCCAAACAAAAACGTGTTTTTCTATTTTTGTGAATAAAGATATTCTATTATATTCAAACGAATCGCATTCCATCAAATTTGTGAAACGAATTTAAATTTATCTTAATTTTATTTAAAGTTTACTTTTGACATATTTATATGAACTTTTTTATTTGTCCACCCTATAAAATTAAAATTTAGAATTTTAACATACACGCAAAAGCCAATAACATGTTTAAATTTAATGTAAATCAATAACCTGTAAAAAACGGTATAAATTTATTATAGCGAGAGTATTAGTTCGTTTTTGTTGAGCGGTGTAAACGTGGGAAAAGTGATAACTTAGGGAGAGGAATATTTAAGATTGCGTGCCATTCACGTGATCATTCCATCTTTTCAGCGGCTCAACTATAGTATCGGCGAATTGTTTTGTAAGAGATATCAGTGCGAATTGTAAGCGATAATTATTATTGTAATTATAATTTGTAATGAGTGTTAGTTAAACTACGTTGGGCTTCACGTAAAATCTGAACATACAGAAAAACGTAACAATGTAAACAAATCAAAAGTTAACGACATTTTGTGGAAAATAAAACAGTGTTGTGTTTTATGTGTTGTTTTACTACTGAACAAAAATTTTCATCAAGTAGTCGTTAATTACATGGACAGTTTAAAATGTACGATATATTCTAAATTATAACCCATACATATAAGAAGAGGCGTTCGACAGGGATGTGTGGTTTCCCCTCTTTTATTTAACATTTATTCGGAAGCCATATTTCAAGAGACTTTGGAGGATGCAGAGATGGGAATCAAAGTGAATGGAGTATTGATCAACAACATACGATATGCTGATGATGGTCTCTTAATTTGTGACAACATAGTGGATCTTCAACAACTTATCACTATAATCGGAGAATACAGTAAGCGAATGGGATTAGAGATTAATACCAAAAAGACCAAATTCATGATCATCTCCAGAAACTTGGATGCACTTGAAAACTCCACCATAACACTGAATACTAAATCCATTGAAGGAGTGAGTAAATTTAAATACCTGGGATCGTGGCTTTTTGAAGACTGGGCATCGGACAGGGAAATAAAATGTCGCATTGAGCAAGCTCGACAAGCTTTCGTAAAATTCAAGAAGGTACTGACTTGTTCAGAGTTCGATCTTCAACTGAGACTAAGTGATACGTATGATCAGTGCTGCTATATGGCGTAGAGGGCTGGACACTCAAAACGAGGGATAACAGATTAGAAGCTTTTGAAATGTAGCTTTATCGCCGTATCCTAAAAATACCATGGACAGCGAAAATCACAAATAAAGATGTCCTTAAAAGAATAAACCAAGAACGCCAACTTTTCGAAACCATCAAGAAAAGAAAAACGGCGTATCTAGGTCACATCATGCGAAATGAAAAATACCAGTTCTTCCAACTTATAATCGAGGGTAAAATTGAAGGCAAGAGAGGAATGGGACGCAAGAAAATGTCCTGGCTCCGAAACATAAGGCAATGGACAGGGATTAACGACATACAATCTCTGATACATATTGCAAGAAATAGAGAATTAATGGAAAATGTGATCGCTAACATCCATTAGTGGATTTACATCTGAAGAAGAAGAATTCTAAATTATCCATAAATTTTTCTAATAGAGGATACCTAAAGACATTACTCATAATTAAACTGGAATATATTTGGTTATGAATTATTGATGATACATCATGTATTATTTACTTCTATTCATCATCCAATTGCAATTTCATTACAAACTGAATGTTTTTTTTTTTGGTGGGGTGGGGGAGGGGAAAGAAAGTGGAAATATCAGCTCGTTTCCGTTAACATTTCTGCCGGTCATTGACAACACATTTATTTTCGATTTAAGCTACTTAATTGGCTTTGGTACCTAAATAAATAAATAAAATATCAATAGAGTCTCAGGCATTTGTTATTTATTAGTTCTACTTCAATCAAACAAAGCTTTAAAAATATAGAATTGGTATCTTGAAAGTAGATTATTGATATCGTTGTTAATTACAGACTGTTTAATATTTGTCTACCTTTACAGCTGTTTGGTTAATTTTCAATTTTTCATTGAAGTCTAGTTTTAGGGATACTTTTTTGAGCACACATTCGGTCTAAGTGTGATCGTTTTGGGGTTATGTGACTTTTTTGAAAATAATAGGCGATTGTGAGTACTTGAGCACAGAACACTCTGATGTAACTTAAAAGTGGATGAAACCCCTGAAAATCATCTTGGAGGCGCCCATGGCACCACAACAAATACAAAAAGAAACCCAGCAACAAACGCTAATAGTTGCGACCAATTCCGAATGATCAGTTTATTAAGCCAGGCCCTAAAACTGTTCTTAAAGATAATTCACATAAGAATATTATACAGACGTGAAAGAGACATTAACCCCACAGAGTTCGGTTTCAGACCAGGATTTGGCACAAGAGAAGCACTTTATAGCTTAACTGTCCTACTTCAGAAATGCAGAGATCAGCAAAAAGATGTCTTCCTATGCTTTATAGATTACCAGAAAGCGTTGAATTGTGTTAATCATTCAGAATTAGTAAGATTGCTCCAGGAACGTTCGATAGATGAGAATGGCCTTAAAATCATAAAGAACCTTTATATGAATAAAGTGGCATCTGTGAGAGTTGGACTGGAATCTACATAATATTTCTCAATCGAAAAAGGTGTACGACAGGATTGTGTTCTGTCTCCCCCCCTTTTTAATCTTTACTATGAAACGATTTTCGATAGAGCCTTAAGTGACACTGAAGATGGAATCAAAATCAACGGACAAACTATTAGTAATCTTCGCTAGAATGATGATACAGTCATAATAGCTGATAGCCAAGAACCGCTACAACGACTAATAGATAAAATAAACACTGAAGGGGAACGACTGAGCTTGAAGATTAATATAGACAAGACGAAGGTAAGCGTGGTTAGTAGAACACGAAATAGGCAATTGAATATAAGAGTAAACAATAAGAACACCCAAAAGGTCTTGGAGTTCACATATCTCGGTAGTTGGATATCTGAAGATCCAGATCCAGACATAGAGATACGTAGCAGGATTGAGTAAGCCAGAACAGCATTTACTAATATGAGAACCTTGCTAAGCAAGAGCAGCCTAAACTTCGATATCGCTTAAGCCTACTAGGATGTACGGAACTAAACTTTGTGCAGATAAAAAACAACATATTTGCATACATGCGAAATCTACGGATCAGTGGCGTGACTAACTAAAGATACAAATAAATTTATAAGGTAAGTCTCCAGTTTCGCTGAAGGTTTTATGTGATGAAGAAAATGATGGTTAGAAAAGACGTACATGTGAATGGGATTATTGACGGTATGAACCAAATAGAAATGTATGGAAGAATATGAATAGTGTAGAAGAAAGCATACATTTAATCTCGTGGATAAAAAATATCAAACATTAGATTGGTAACCATATCATTACAGCAGTTCAGGGTAGCTGTACAAAAATGTATATGGGGATATGGTACAAGAATGAAATTGGGAATTAGGTTCCTGATAGAAACAACGGCATACTGAGCGTAAATATTTGCAAATAATATAAAGAGACATATTTAAATAAAAAAATAATTGACATTATTAAATAAATTTGAAAATGTTATAGCGTTGAAAGTTATAAATGTAAGAAATAGTTTTATTCTACTGATACTGGCATTGAACTTTTCTTCATTTAATAAAAAGTGGGATAATTAAGAATCATAATAAAATGCGGGTTTTTACGTATAAATAAAAACATGTAATTAACGTTATACCAGTTGATTTCGTCGATTGGATTAATTGAAAAATAACCTTTTTTGTATTAGCTATCGTCCAAAGTTTTTTATTTACCTTTTATTTTCCTTTGCTCCAACCATAGCCATTACCTAAACGAAATCAACTCGAAATGATATTTATCTGAAGGTGAAACTCTCCTACGATAATACTTTCACTGCAACCACAAACTAGGCACGTTTCATCACGACTGAAAATGAAAACATTAACGATACCAGCGTTTTTGCGAAAAAAAAAACTCTCAACAAAAATATCGACACGGACTAGAAATTGTCCACCTCGATCGGAGTACCGCAGCAAATAATCGAGTTTGAAGGAGCTGATCGGTGATCCGGTGGTACCAGCCTTCCTCTGGCACGAACCACGTGCTACCCGGAATACGAACAAAGGTTTAATTTAACAGCAACAATCGCCAATGTAGCGGATAGCACTAGGTGGTGTAGTTGTAGGCCTTGAATGGGGAACGTAGAGGTGGAGGGAACAGTTACATCTGTTACCGTTTTAAAGCGATTAATTAAACTGTATTTTGTATTGTTTTACATAACTATTAAACTTTTAATATATTCTAACTTACTAGCAATATTAACAGATGTCATGCACAATTAAAAATGGCGTTAAAACGGAGTATGTTCTTTTTGACTGCATATTCATTCAGAACTACAAATTCTAGGAATCTAATAAACTCATAGAACTATTAGCTATTATATTAAAAAAGATTTTTTTGAGAAATTGATATGGCAATCATAACCTTGCTCGCTGCGGCTCGAAACAGCTCCGTTGAGGTTTTCTTAAACCATGTTCTTAAATTCCGCAGCCATGATATTCTCCTTTTACCGGGTCCTCGCTTACCTTTGACTTTACTTTGCAATATAGACTGTAGCAGGGAGTAACGGTGCTGATTTCTAATAATGTGTCCCAGATATTGCAATTTTATGCGTTTGATCGTAAACACAATCTCTGGTTCCTTCTTCATTTTTCCCAGAACTTCCTTGTTCGTGATCCTTGCTGTCCATGATATTCTCAGCATTCTTCTATAAAGCCACATCTCAAATGCTTCAAGTTTTTTAATAGTGGTGTCTGTAAGCGTCCATGCCTCCGCCCCGTACAACAACACAGAGAAAACATAGCATCTCAAATGTCTCACTTTTGTATCAAGGGATATGTTGTGACTTTTAAAGATAACGCTCCTTTTGTTAAAGACCGTTCTTGCCTTTCCTATGCGGCACTTTATTTCCTGTACATTGCTCCACTGTTCGTTAATAATAGATCCCAGGTAACAATACTGTTTTACTCGCTCTATCTGCGTCCTATTAATGTATAGATGAGCCCCGTTTATATTCTTGCTGATAATCATTTGTTTCGTTTTGTGGGTATTAATGTTTAGTCCGTACTGTTGACTGTTCTCGTTTATTCTGTCCATTAGCCTCTGAAGTCCCTCTAAACTATCTGCTATCACCATGGTGTCGTCGGCATATCTAACATTGTTTACTCTTTCACCATTTAGAAGGATGCCTTCGTCTATTCCGTAAAGAGCCTCATTAAAAAATTTCTCTGAGTACATATTAAATATCAACGGCGATAGGATACATCCCTGTCTAACTCCACGTAGTATTTTTATGTGATCTGTTTCTTCTCCGTTAATTTTCATGTATGCGGTCTGATTCCAGTAGAGTTCTAAAATTATTCTGAGGTCTTTGTCATCCAGGTCTGCCTCTTTTAAAATGTTTATCATCTTTTGATGTTGAACTCTGTCAAATGCCTTTTCATAGTCGATCAAGCACGCGTATACGTCGCAGTTAACATCCCTGCATCTTTGAATCCGTACCTGTACTCCGAAAAGTGCCTCTCTGGTACCCACTGCGTTAATGAAGCCGAACTGTCTGTCCGATATTTGTTCCTCGCACTTCTTATAAATTCTTCCATGGATGACTCTAAGAAACAACATATAGCTCATTAGGCTGATTGATCGATATTCTTCGCACTTTTTAGCCCCCTGTTTTTTAGGTATCGCTATGAATTCTGATTCTAGCCATTTATCAGGGATGATTCCTGTATTGTATATTTTATTGAAGACAGCCGTGATCCAAATTATTCCTTCTTCCTCCAAGAGTTTTAAAAATTCAGCTTCGATATTATCAGGCCCTACAGCTTTCCTGCTTTTCATCCGTTTTATTGCTTCTTCTATCTCGGATTTAAGTATGTCCGGGCCCGTCATCCTCTCTGAAAATGGATGCCTATAATCCGTTCTTTGATCTTGAAAAAGTGTCTCCAAATATATTCTCCATTTGTCTTTCATCTCTTGGGTGTCAATGATTAATTTTCCATTGGTGTCTATCAGTTTCATTATCATCCTAGGAGACTTAAACAGCAGAAATGGAAAAAACCTCATAACGCAGGTATAGGTCAATTCGGAGAGGACCGCGCAAATAATAATGGTACCAGTCTAATATCATTATGCGAACAAAATTAAATGAAAATTGCAAATGGATTTTTTCAACACAGAGACATACACAAATAGGCAGCCTGCGGTTATGTTTGCTCTATTCACTTGATCTTCCACCTTCGAGCTTTCCGTAGCTAGATAATGTGATGCCTAAAAACTCCATCACTTCTTCTATTATCTATTATCTCACCTTCCAGCTCCAATTTACATCTTAGTAAATTTGCTGTTGTAACCATGCATTTTGTCTTTTTTGATACTATTCTTTCTGATATGTATTGAGACTCTTGTGTGATTTTGGTGCCTTTGGTGTATTAGTAAGGCTACACCTTCTTTGGCCCTGCTTTTTTTTGCTACTCCACTGTAGATTAGTACGAATTCACCTAATTGACCTTTTTCTTTCTTTTTTGTTTCCTGTAGAGCACAAATGTATATTTCTTTGTTGGGTGTGTGTTGAGTGATTTGATATTCCAAGTAGTGATTCTCATCTGCGTTTTGGATGTTTTTCACTTGACTTTATTTCTTGTCCGATTAAAATATCGGATTGGAGAACAAAATGCACATATAGAAAATATGTTTAATTGTGCAAAAGTGAAGTAATCTTCCTCATATGACAGTCTGCAATAATCCTACAGCATTATATGACGTTGATAATATTCATGAAACATTAAGATAATGACTTAATCCATCTAGTTTTCAATCTGCATCTTTTTCTTCTAAATTAATTAAGATTTAGTTGCACTCGCAGTTCTATTCATTTACTATGTTCTTAAATGCTGTACAATAAACTTATACTTAAAAAATACAAAAAATTGAACATCTATCCTTGGCGTTACAGCCCTTTATGATTTTGAGCTGCTTAACAATCTGAGAACAAATCTAAGGATATCGGTGTCCTGCCGGTCATCATCATCATCCAGCCTCAAGAGTCCACTGCTGAACATAGGCCTCTTCCTCATGTTTCCAACCCCGTCTATCTTGCGCCGCTCTGATCCAGTTTTTATTGAGTCTTCTTAAATCGTCAGTCCATCTTGTAGGTGGTCGACCGACGCTTCTCTTGTCTTCCCTTGGACTCCATTCCAATAACCTCTTTGTCCATCGCTCATCTGTCATTCTGGCTATGTGTCCTGCCCATCTCCATTTTAGTCTGGCTATCTTCTCGATGATGTCAGTCACTCCGGTTCTTCTCCTGATGTCTTCGTTGGTTATTCTGTTTCGCAGAGTTATTCCTAACACGGACCGCTCCATTCTTCTCTGCGTGACTCTCAGTTTGGTAGCTGCTGCTTTTGTTAAGGTAAGTGTTTCTGCTCCGTACGTCAAGACTGGGAGGACACACTGATCAAATACCTTTCTCTTTAGGCATGTGGGCAACTCACTTTTAAAAGTTTCTCTCAGTTTTCCAAATGCTGCCCACCCAAGGCCGATTCTTCTCTTCAGTTCATGAGTCTGGTTATCCCTGCCAATCATAATTTCATGTCCCAGGTATTTATATCTATCTACGAGTTCTATTTCTTTCCCACCAATACTGATGTTCTAGTTGGGTAACAAACTGGTCATGATTTTTGTTTTCGAGATATTTATAGTTAAACCTACATTTTCTGTAGCCACAACGAGTTCCTGTACCATCTCTCTTTTCATACCTACATCTTCAGCTATTATAAGTATATCATCGGCGAAACGTAAATTGTTTAGATATTTTCCATCTATTGTTATTCCCTTTTCCATCCAATCCAAATTCTTAAAAGCATGTTGTAGCACCGTATTAAAAATTTTAGGTGACATTGGGTCTCCTTGTCTAACCCCCGGTTCTATTTTTATGCGATTACTGTTAGTATGTAATCTGACAGTGGTTGTTGCCTGCAGGTATATTTTGTACAATAATTTAGTATATCTATAATCTAGCCTGCATTCTTTAAGCGCCTGTAATATTTTGCTTAGCTCAACTGTGTCAAAGGCTTTGTGAAAATCGATAAATATCAGAACTAGAGGTTTATTGTATTCCACTGCTTTCTCTATTAGGGTTTTTATACTTTATAGATGGTCATTTGTTCCGTAACTTTTTCGGAATCATGCCTGTTCCCTTGGTTAATAAGTCTCTAATTTTCTTTCCATTCTCTTAACTAGTATTTGCGTAAACAACTTATATATATATATATATATATATATATATATAATATATAATATATATATATATATATATATATATATATATATATATATATATATGGCTGAGGAGGTTAATCGATCTGTAATTCTCTAAATTTGCTTTGTCTCCTGCTTTGTGTAATAGAATCATAGTAGCGTTGTTCCAGTCTGTTGGAATATTGGCGATGTGAAGGCAGATATTGAAAAGTTGTTTAATTTTTTCAAGTAATACATCCCCTCCAATTTTTAGTGCTTCTGATACTATACCATCATCACCCGGGGTTCGATTATTTTTCATTTTCTTCAGAGCTTCTTTGATTTCTGATTTTGTTATATCGGGCATTAAATCTGATCCTTGGTTTAATACCCCAGTTTTTAGTGTAATTGGAGGTTCCGTATTGTTATCTTTTTTTCTTGATCTATATAACTCTGTAAAGAACTCTTCGACTATTCTTGATATATCATCACTGTTCGTTGTTTCTTCTCCAGTTCTGTTTCTCAGTA